AGAGAGAGGGGGCAAAGAGTGGGAGAAAGGTGAATTGTATATGTATATAGGTTAGATAATTGTATATTATACATATGTATTTATATATTCTGGCTAATTATACATATACAAACGTGACTAATTATACAAACTCGAAGTCAACCCGCGTAATTAATGTATAATGTTAGTCGTGAGTGGTAATTATAGCAAAACTATAGCTATGATGAGTAATTAAGTAGTATAAGTTTGTTTAACCGCGTAATTTTCCCATATCTAAACAACGGTTTAAAAAAATTATTGTGTAAATTCTATATTTAGCATGATTGCCCATATGATGTTTCAGTCCATAAATGGGCCTAAAGTACAAGCCCAACCCAGAATTACTGGACTTGGGGTTGCCATAATGGGCTCTTTTGATCAATCCTTTACCAAATAGCCACTTTTGAGGCATCAAATTTATGTTTGAGATGTAAATATAAGTTCTGACTTCTAAAACGAAAGTGAACATAAGTAAGAGCAACCCACTTTTCCGTAGCGCCCCTTCCACAAGCAAAAGCACAACACGTGCGCCTTATCTAACGAACATAAAAATTATAATATAACAACAATGATATATTACAATTATCCAAAATGAACAAATCAACTTTTCTATTAATAACCAACAATTACAAATTTTATCTAAAATAACCAACAAATTGAACCATTTTATCTTTGATGAAGTCAAAGCAAAACCCAACTTCTTCAAGTACCCTTTCATCAGCACCATTCCTAATTATTGGTGGAAAAAAAAGCCCAAAAGCAGTAACCACCACAAACCCAACCGTTAACAGGCCCGAAACAAAGCCCGGTAACCGCCATGTATCCTTCAAACACCTCTTAACACCAATCTCCACCATCACACAAAGCCCGTGTAACACAAAAAAGCCCGTCATTTCCCAAGAAGGGCTCACACGATTAACGTAATAAAACAAAAGCTCATGCATTAAACCGGATACGACAAAAGTTGCCAGCATGGCAACACGTAGGGCCCACGTTCTCCCGACAACTTCTGACAATGCTGACCTCACAGGGTTATATATGGTGAGACGCAGTGTATTGGTTACGGTGAGGTTCCACCTATTTCCCCAAAAATCTTGAAGGGAAGTTGATAAATAAGGTTCATTTGATGGTGGCTCTAATTCTAACTCAAACCCCACTAAGATTATTTTAACAATATTGCTAGATAATGCTACAAGAATATCAATCATGAGAAAAACCAAGAAACAATAACAAATCAAGATTAATTTAGGGTGGAGTTGACTTTTGTGATGAAAAGTCAACTCCAAGAAAATTGCAAAAAGGACAAATTCTAAACCTAGATTTAATGGGATTTTCTTGGTGGAGTTTTTCATATTTTGTTTGGATCTTAGAGGAAGGGAAGCCATAAAAATGAATATAGGAAGATTTGTTGCATTTTTTTGTGTGAAAGAAGAAAGAGGGCCTTGATTAAAAGCAAAAAGGAGGAGTTTGAAATTGGCAAGCCAAGTAATGAAAAAAGTGGTGAGTCCTATAAGAAATGAAGAAGAAAAGTAAAGTGGGAGAATTGTGAAGAGGTAAAAAATGGGAAGAAGTGAAATTAGCCTTGGAATACCTTTGGGGATTTTGGATGATATGAAATAGGAGTAACAAAGAGAGAGGATGATAGAGAGACAAATGTTAATTGATGACATTTTCTTGGACTTTGGTTGCTTATTTGGATTTCCCCCCTCTCTTTATGATTTATAGCACTAACAAAAGGAGAGTGTGTGTGTGTTTTCTATTGATCTATTTTCACCTACCAAACTAGAGTACTTAAAAGTGAATTAAGTAAGGACCACAAATGGGATATACATGTGTCACACCAAAGAAAGCACAACTACAAGTAATAATGTAGGTTTTTTTTTTTTTTTTCATCTGGTCCGATATTCGCATTAGGGTTCGATTATTATAGATTTGTGTCACCGTAGAACCCCATTTGAGGAGAAACACGCTTTGTACAGGATCTTTTCATATTCATGACTCGAATCCAAAACCTTTAATTAAGGAATGAACAAACTCATCTACTGCATCACATTTTTTGTTGGTAATAATGTAAGGATTGTTTGGTTTGAATTACAAATTATAATGAAATTAGTTATATTTTAATTAGTTATTCTGATATTATGATTGTTTGATTTGTTATATAAAAATAATATACATTGATTTTATAAAAAATATTTATTTATTAAAATACCCTTAACCTTATTAAACATAAAAAGATTTTGAGGATGTCATGATCTTTTTTGTCACTTACATAATTTTATCTTGCTCTATCATTCTATCCTAATATTGATTATTAATTCTAATATAATTTATCCTAAAGTTAATAACCAAACAAGAAATCAAATAGTATTACTAATTTTTATTTCAAAAATATCTAGCCTAACATACTAAAAGATACCTCATACCAAAAAATTTTAAATCAATAAATGCTACATTCATATAAAACATGAAGTACACTGAAAAAATTCATTAGAGTATACAATTTGTTAGTTTATTATGTGAAGTGTTTCTTTTCTCCGTATCTAAGATAACCTCCATTTCAATTTGTTTATCGGTTTTAACTTGACTTGAAATTTTAAAATGTAAATAAAAATTTTAAATCTCTTAATCTTAAATTAAAGATACGTAAACCTCTTAGTTATTACAGTGGCAAATGATCTCCTTTGATGATCTATTGCACTAGCAAAAAGGAGTGTGTGTGTTTTACTTTTTTATTGACTTCAAATTGACCTATTTTTAACTACCAAATATAGTTAAAAGTGAATGAAATAAAGACCACAAAAGGGTTATACCTTTGGTACCACACAAAAGCAATTAATAGTGTAGTAGTATAATTTTAACACGACACTTCACCCCGTTATGGCTATAGCCCACCAAACATCCAACGTTCCAAACTATACCATTCAAAAAATACACTTTCAATCACACAATAAGCAAATCCCTCACGTGAGATCTGAGTGGATAAATATACGCATATCTGTATCTTACTCATACTTCGTGGAGGTAGAAAAATTGTTTATGAATGATTCTTTGCTCAAGTACACCTATACAAATTAGTAATGAAAAGGAAAAACAACAATACAGAAAACAGGACAATTAATAAGGAAAGTTGTAGAGTATTCAGAAAAGAAACATTAACAACAAAAAAATAATGCGATGACCAATACACAATAAATAACATAAGGTAGCATATATCAAAGACAAGAAACTACATCAATAATAAGGCTAATGCTACAACAAATAACATACTACCTACTACAACCAAAGCCTAATCATGTTGGAAAACAAGACAACACTAAACTATCTTCTAACAATTTTACTCTAACTCGTGACCTCCATATCTAAATTAAAGGCATATACTCAATAAGTTGAAGTTGCACTATGTCCTGTTTAATCACCTCTCTCCAATATTTCTTCGGCATATATCTACCTCTCTTCGTATCCATTATATCCAACCTCTCACACCTTTTCATTGGGCCATCTGCCCACTCCTCTTCACATATCCAAACCATTTTATTCTACTTCTCTCATCACGTTCACCACAAATGCAACTCCTTTCTTGTTTCGAATATTCTCATTCTTAATGTCATCTCTCCTAGTATGCTCACACATCTATCTCAATATCCTCATTCTCGCAACTTGAACCTTCTAAACATAAGAGATCTTAATTGAACAACATTCCACCTCATACAATAAAGTCAGTTTAATTACCATTCTATAGAACTTAGTTCTTGGACGTAAGATAAAAGTTGAATATATGTGTATGAAAAGACCAGGTCTTAAACTTACCAATAGTGTTTATATAATACCAAAAGTGAAAAGTACAATTATCCAAATTGCACAAATCAACTTTTCTATTAGTATCCAAAATTACAAATTTTATCAAAAATTACAAATTTTATCAAAAATTACAAATTGAAGCATTTTATCTTTAAGGAAATCAAAGCAAAACCCAACTTCTTCAAGTATACTTTCATCTACACCATTCCTAATAATTGGTGGGAAAAAAAGCCCAAATGCAGTAACTACCACAAACCCAACCGTTAACGGGCCCAAAACAAGCCCGGGAAACCGCCACGTATCCTTCAAAACCTTCTTTACTTCAATCTCCACCACTAAACAAAGCCCGTGTAACACAAAAAAGCCCGTTATTTCTCCGGAAGGTCTCACTCCATTATTAACGTAGTAAAATATCAGCTCATGCATTAAACCCGAAACTAAAAAAGTTGCCAGCGAGGCACTATGTTGGGCCCACTTTCTACCAATCACATTCAACAACACTAACCTCACCGGATTATATACAGTGCAACGCAGTGTATGTGTTACGGTGAGGTTCCATCTTCTTCCCCAAAAATCCTGTAGCGAAGTTGAGAAATAAGGCTCATTCGATGGTGATTCAATTTCTATGTCTAAACACAGAAAATGCTTGACGATAAGAGAAGATAACGCAATTAGTATATCAATCATAAGGAAAATCATCACGCAGTAGAAAATCAACACTAATTTTGGATGAATTTCACTTTTGTGATGAAGAATAATCTCCATGATTACAGCGAATAGAACAACTTGTACAGCTGAATTCATCGGTTTTTTTCTGTTTTGGTTCGGGGTAAAGGTAGTTCTGAGAGGGAGAGCGGCTATGGAAATGAATACGGGGAGTGATATGATTTTCGGATTGGGTGCATTGATAATCAACGGACCTTGATCGAAAGCGAAGAGTACGAGCTTGAAGATGGCAAGCCAAGTAATGGAGAAAGTGGTGATTGCTGTGAGAAATGCAGAAGAAAAGTAAAGTGGGAGAATTGTGAAGAGGTAAAAAATGGGGAGAAGTGAAATTAGCCTTGGAATACCTTTTGGGATTTTGGCAGAGAAGAAATAGCAGTAACAAAGAGAGGGAATTACAGAGAAACAAATATAATTTGAAGACATTTTTTTTTTGAGATTAAAAAAAAAATAACTTTTAACTATATCACAAGTTTTAATATATTATAGATCTATGGTAATGTCTTCTATTTATGGACCTTGAGAAATGATGTGAAAATGTGTACTGTACGTAAGTTAATTGTGCAAAGTTTGTTTGTTTATTCATTCATATATTGTGAGTGAAATCTTACTTTTTAAGTAAACTAATCACATAAGTTGTGCGAAAAATTAGTAAGAATTGAACGTATTGAATCTTAACATAATTTCAAAGTTAAACGTGTTTAAACAAGAATAGTATTAGAATGAATGGTCAAGTTACATCCCTCCCTTGAAAATTGACAAGGGATGGCTAAATATTACTTAAAAAACGTGTGAGACCACAAATTTTAAAAGTCTTAGTCGCACAAAAGAAACCACGATTGGAAGTAATAATATATATATATAGTACTACATTTGCACCCAAAAGAATTGAAAACGTTAACTTCATCATTCAAAAATTACACTTATATAAATAGTATGTTTACACTAAATCAAATGAAAAAATACATAGCATTTTTATTGTTCTTCCCTACTCCATTATTTTATTAGTGTTGCAACCTCAAAAAATAAAATAAAAAGTATGAATCAGTGAGAATATTTTCAAAATATAAATCATACATCTAATGAATCAAATTCTACTTTCAGATGAGAAAAAAAAAACTACATAAAAGTAGCAGGAAACAAAATTGGAAATAGTACAGTTGATTCTTCCAGAGGTACTATCGTGCTGATTTGATAACATTGTGTACTTTTATCTATATTTGTATCTAAAAGCATTTCGCACCTGAGTATAATTCATCTAAAAACACATGTATGTTCACTTCGTTTATGTTCGGTCTTCTTGCTTTCTCCCCCCAGCTTATTATTTGTCCCTCGTAGCTGTAAAGACAAAAACGTTTAACTATTGTTCATTATCTGGTTTTGTACCTTCATTTTCAACTTCATGAGAAGAGGCTGTACTGTTGTTGTGTATCCTCAAGTAGTGAGGATGAGGGTGCATCTGATGGTATCTCTGCATTTTGAGACTGCATTGGAGATGCTAACGTATCAGATGGTGCATCGTCAGCAGCCAACTCCAGCTTTGACACTTCAGTAGTATCAGATGGTGCATCGCCAGTAACCAACTCCAATTTTGACCCTTCAGTAGTATCAGATGGTGCGTCCTCAGCCGCCAACTCCAATTTTGACACTTCAGTAGTATCAGATGGGGTGTTGTCAGCAGCCAACTCCAATTTTGACCCTTCAGTAGCATCAGATGGTGCGTCCTCAGCAGCCAACTCCACTTTTGACACTTCAGTAGTATCAGATGGTGCTTTGTCAACAGCCAAATCCACTTTTGACACTTCAGCAGTATAAACTTCAGTAGCATCAAATGGTGCATCGTCAGCAGCCAACTTCAACTTTGAAACTTCAGTAGCATCAAATGGTGCATCGTCAGCAGCCAACTTCAACTTTGAAACTTCAGTAGCATCAAATGGTGCATCGTCAGCAGCCAACTTCAACTTTGAAACTTCAGTAGCATCAAATGGTGCATCGTCAGCAGCCAACTTCAACTTTGAAACTTCAGTAGCATCAAATGGTGCATCGTCAGCAGCCAACTTCAACTTTGAAACTTCAGTAGCATCAAATGGTGCATCGTCAGCAGCCAACTTCAACTTTGAAACTTCAGTAGCATCAAATGGTGCATCGTCAGCAGCCAACTTCAACTTTGACACCTCAGGAGTATCAGATGGTGCATAGTCAGCAGCCAACTCCAACTTTGACACTTCAGTAAGCAGTCAAATGGTGCATCGTCAGCAGCCAACTTCAACTTTGACACCTCAGGAGTATCAGATGGTGCATAGTCAGCAGCCAACTCCAACTTTGACACTTCAGTAATAAGTGGGGTTTCATCATCTCCGTTTACAGATGGTGCTGGAGATGCATCAGGAGTAGTTGATGATGCTCCACTAATTGAAGGTGCAGGGGATGCATCAGGTGAAGCAGCAGTATAGGGGGACATAGAGCCATTCATAGATCTTGCTGGTGATGCATCAGATGCAACAGTACTTGCAGGAGACTCTATATCGTCCGCTGTCTGCTGAAGGCTCCAGTACATGATGCTGGCAGTGAGAGTGAGGATCATCTTTTGGTTAACCTGTCCACACGTGACCCCAAGAAGGATAGTTTCATAATCAGGTCTCAGGAATACATCTTTGCACAGAAAAGAATATAGGATGAAGCAGACGCAGGCATACTTTTCTCTGTATTGTAAGTGGACAAAGAATGGTCTGTTTTTTACCCCACCCACCCCATCAGAAGGATCAATAGTGTTCCCATTACCCTCCATCCAGCGTGACTCGAACCTTCACCCTACCAGTTGATGGCGGAGATGCTCAACAACTAGAGCTAGTCTCACTTGTCAAAAAGTCTCTGTTTTAAACATGTCTTAAAAGTCCTAGAAAGTTTTAAAAAAATTTTACCTTGGAAAGTTTGTGTTGTATCTATCTGGTTCTTGTTAAGCTGCTTACTATAATGGATACAGGAACTACTAGCAACAATTCAACATGACAGCATACTCACCTCCATGATATCCTCAGGCAACAGAAAGATAGAACACCCAAGTTTCCGTGCAACACTGATGATATAAGTAGCATTCAACTTCTTTTCCTCATCTGTCACGGAACAAAAGAAATTTCAGTTTGGAGCACTGCATCCCATAAGATGACAATAAGTAGAATGAAAAATCAGAATGTGTAAAACCCTGTTGTACTATGACCCTTTTGAGAAACTTGATATTCTTTTGGATGATGTTAGATAGAAGACCGCAAGCATTAAAAGCCTAGAAGGTAAGTTGCACCCTCTAGAAATTCAAATTCCTCAATCCATATTTTTAACACTAAGGAAGAGTTAAAAGCTAGCTGTTCACGCTAGAAAGTTGAATTCAATATTGCAAGTGTAAGTTGACATTCTTGATTGTGCAAGTGAAAGAGAAGCCTTTGGCAGTTAACGGAGAGTGACTGGGAAATGACCTTCCTCCATGCCCCAAGAAGAGAAAAATTAAATTTTGCACAAATAAACTCCATACCACTTTCACCCTTGGTGACAAGATTCCAATTAACAACCCTTGGCTCCACAGCACTGAGAAGCTCGAGAAAGAATAATCCATTTGAAAGGCTCTTATCCTAAACAAAAACCACTAATTGTAAGTAAAAATCACATAGACAAAGTTGAAATTACGCCAATTGAACAGGAACTGGTGATACTTCACCTTAAAACTCTCCATTTTAGATGTTCTTCCAGTGTTTTTGACTTTTTTGTTTGCCCAAGCGAGAATATCAGCATCAGTAATCTCCTTCCCTCGGAAACGCGATCTCAAGTTCTTCAAAAGCTGAAGCATATTAAACCTCATCAACTGCCACAGGAAAGCTGGAAAAGAATGTATATATGAATACATAAGTGATGTGCTAAGAAGCACTAATTACAAGGCTTACATATGTCGTAAAGCATGTCATTGAAGAAGCAAAACTAAGGTATTGAGTTGCATGAACAACATAATCACATGAAAAAA